AGCATGTCTTTGCCTAACCATTCACAGTTTAATTCCTTCTAAGTATGAACTCCTTTTATCTCAATCCCTGGGAACAAGAGGATCAAGAGGTGAACAGTTTTATTACTAGAACCATAAAACTCTGCAAATATTTATCAAAGGATCAGGAAGTTAGGTTAATAGTTTCAGACTATGAATCCTTGGCTGTACAAATGCAAATGAACTCTAGCCTGGTGTAAAATGTCAGAGATGAACAGGAGATAAGGGCATATGGAAAAGGCAACCTGTTGTTAACTCAATCACATGGGCCAGGCAAAATGTCTGACTTGATTAACTTTGCCAGAAGACTATAGTGAGTACATTCATTCATATGAATGAATCTAGAAAAAGGTCATGGCCCTCAAGGACTTTGAGAAAATGTGGAAGACCAAAAATACTTGGCTCCTCATGTAAAAATCACATTGACAAACAGTGCTTGTTCATTCCTGTGCCATCTAAAGGGCTCACAACTCTCAAGAAAGTTTGCACCAAACTTGATCATAGTAATTATCAATGCATATAATCATAGGGTTATAAAATAAAAAGAGCAAAAAGGTGCTATCTGAAATGAGCAAAAAGATTAACAGCACCTGTGTATTCAAAGATGAAAGTATAGTAGAGTTTAAATTTAAAGTGACATAGATTAGCAAATACCATTATTTCAAAAATGTGTGCACTTTTGGTATGCGTAGTATTCTGCATATGCCCTGTCATGCAAACACCACTAAAATCCAAGTGCTGCCATGATTGATTTGGTGATTTGCTTTGTCATAAAGCAAGGCTCACAAAGAAGCTTATATACAATCAATAAAAACAAGACAGTCGCTACCAACAAACTTATAAATGAAAAGGCAAAAAAGAAAAAAGGGGGGGGGAGGCAAAGACTGAAGTGGGAAAAAAGAGCAAATAGGTCTTTTAGTAATGATGACGGGATCCCATTTCTCTTTTTAGTGGTGTAGCATTATCCTGTGATTTTTATTTATTTATTTGGTAGTATGAACAAGTTATCTATCGTTCTTTCATTCATTCATCACATAGCATTGGCCCAACAAGGTGGACATGAATAGTCCTTTCTGATAAGGCTATTGTTTAGAACAATGTTTCTCAATCTTGGCAACTTTAAGATGTGTGGACTTCAACTCCCAGAATTGCTGGCTGG